TCAGGTACTGCAAGTGATGCCATGAGGGACCCTGGTCGTTCATAATCACATTCACAAGAGACAAGCCCTTAGCCCAAGCATATGCTTCCTGTGGGGAGATTTCGTCTTTCCCCCAGTCAAAATCCGACAGCAAGCCCTGCTTACCTCCAGCGCTTCGCGTACAATTTACCTACAATATGCTGCTGTCTGCATACTCGTGAAATATGTTCAAGTCAACCCTCGCAAGAGCAACTCGTTCCGGGGTCTTGGCGCCGCTCATCAAAAGCCACCCGTTTCGGAGTCTCGGCGCCGCTTTGCGATACGCTGCACTGGTACCCTCCAGCTCGTTTGGCCTCTGCCCGAACTGAATGACCACTGCAAAACCGAATGCTAGACGCAGCAGCAGAGCATCTACCAGAGCTACATGACAAGAAAGAAACGTCAGCGAAAATTCTCGTGATGACAAGTGCACCAGCGTGGTCATGCGAGGCTTGCTTCTGCGAGTGAAAGCACTGCGGGAGCTTTGCGGCCCCTTTCACCCATAGAGAGAGAGGGCGACAGGGAGAGAGAGAGAGAGAGAGAGAGAGAGAGAGAGAGAGAGAGAGAGAGAGAGAGAGAGAGAGAGAGAGAGAAAGAGAGAAAGAGAGAAAGAGAGAGGGATATGGAGACTCACGCACACACACAAACACACACACACACACGCACGCACGCACACACACACACACACACGCACACACACGCACACACACACACACGCACACGCACACGCGAACACACACACGCATACACACACGGAGGGGCAGACAGCGCGAGGGGAAGAGACGGGGGGTGGTTGTGAGGGAGGGAAGGAGGGAGGAAGGAAGGGACTCCGATGCATCTCCCTCGGAGCTCCGCTCGGCGCAGAGAAAAACGCAAGCGCGCGTCGCCGCTGCCGTGCCCAGGGCGTGTGTCTCCTTATCGTGCTCCTTTCCCTCTCCCATGTTCTGATGATGGATTATTTTCCTCCCCTCCCCTCCTCTTTCCCCCTCCTCCTCTAGCTGGCCGTCCCTTCGGCGAAAAGCCTCTGGGCGGCCCGGCCCCTTCGACGTAAAGTCTTCGGGTTCAGCGGCTGGCGCTAATTAAGACAGCGCGAGGGGAAGAGACGGGGGGTGGTTGTGAGGGAGGGAGGGAGGGAGGAAGGAAGGGACTCCGATGCATCTCCCTCGGAGCTCCGCTCGGCGCAGAGAAAAACGCAAGCGCGCGTCGCCGCTGCCGTGGCCAGGGCGCGTGTCTCCTCATCGTGCTCCTTTCCCTCTCCCATGTTCTGATGATGGATTCTTCTCCTCCCTTCCCCTCCTCTTTCCCCCTCCTCCTCCAGCTGGCCGCCCCTTCGGCGAAAAGCCTCTGGGCGGCCCGGCCCCTTCGACGTAAAGTCTCCGGGGTCAGCGGCGGGCGCTAATTAAGCCTCGACGTCGAATGGGCTCACCGCGCCGAAACCGACCGGGAAGGTGTGGCGGGCAGACGATTGCAGCACCGCCCACTCTCGCGGAGTCACGTACCACCCTTTCCAGCCGCAAGAGGGGAACTTGGCTGTAGTTTGCGGGTCCCATGCTTTGTGGAGTACATCCCACAGGGCCTGCCACAAATCGTCATCTGTGTGCGGCTGCAGGGCGGCCGGCTTGATTTTTTTATACAGCCACTGCTGGAACTCCTTGTGTGTAGTGTAGGTCTTCGGAGGCGTCTCCATGCGCTGCGCGAAGTGCGGCTGCTGGATGTGGTGCCACACGAAGGTGATGACGGCACATACAGACTGGTATTTCTCTTGCGCGAGCTCTGTGGCGCATCGCCCTTGCACATGTTCCCTGCGAGCTCTCTTAGGCGTGTCCGTGTACATGGACCTCTGGCGCAGGCGCGCACCGTGGTCCTGCAAGGCCGCCCGCCCCACCGCCAGGCAGTTTTCGAAGTCCTGCATCCACGCGGCGCTGTGCGGGTTGAACGATTCCCACTGCTCTTGTGAATGAGGCATGCCTGTCATGAGCTGCTGCGCCGTGGGAGCGCTATGTGGACATAACGATGAACTGGCGGCGCTCGCGAACCTCACCGAGGAGACGCGCAAGTCGACCTCCTCGGTGAGGTTCGCGTCTTGACAGAGGGCCTCCAGACGGCATGCGAGGTCTGGAAGCCCCGCGGAGTAAGCTCGGTCATGATCCCTGCTCCACCTGTCGAGCGTCGCCTCCACGGCCCGCGTGAAGGGCGCCCAATCCGGGTGGGTCGGGAAACCCTCGTTTAACCTGTGTGGCCCAACCACATGCTTCTTCATCGTGAGGAATCCGCGGCGCAGCCTAGGCCATGCGTTCGACGTAAAGTCTCCCGCGGCCAGCTCGGCGTCCGCCCAATCAATGAGCTTCATGGACGTTCCGAACATGCCGAAGTTTCCTGGATGTGCGTCCCACACCTGCACGCCGGCCTCTGCAGATGTCACCAGTAGTTCTGTTGTCTGCGTGGTGCACCGGATGAGCTGTCTGAGCAAGGCGTTGGTTGGCGGCATGGTCATTTCCGCCGCTTCCGAAGGGAAGCCGCCCGCGTGCGCGTCTCGCCATTGGCCCGCCTTCAACCCGCCAGCGGCGACCCGCCGGCGACCCGCTTGTGACCTGCCCGCGGCCCTCCTGCGACTCACCAGGTGCAGAGACAGAGAGAGAGAGAGAGAGAGAGAGAGAGGGAGGGAGGGAGCGAGAAGGAGAGAGAGAGAGAGATAGAGAGAGAGAGAGAGAGAGAGAAAGCGGCCGCGCTCAGGGACCACCCCCTGCGCACCCCCCATGGTGTCGAGAAAGTGCCACGCCTGCTGTGCCTGGACGACCGTCACGGATAGCGGCCGCGCTCAGGGACCACCCCCTGCGCACCCCCTATGGTGTCGAGAAAGTGCCACGCCTGCTGTGCCTGGACGACCGTCACGGATAGCGGCCGCGCTCAGGGACCACCCCCTGCGCACCCCCATGGTGTCGAGAAAGTGCCACGCCTGCTGTGCCTGGACGACCGTCACGGATAGCGGCCGCGCTCAGGGACCACCCCCTGCGCACCCCCCATGGTGTCGAGAAAGTGCCACGCCTGCTGTGCCTGGACGACCGTCACGGATAGCGGCCGCGCTCAGGGACCACCCCCTGCGCACCCCCTATGGTGTCGAGAAAGTGCCACGCCTGCTGTGCCTGGACGACCGTCACGGATAGCGGCCGCGCTCAGGGACCACCCCCTGCGCATCCCCCATGGTGTCGAGAAAATGCCACGCCTGCTGTGCCTGGACGACCGTCACGGATAGCGGCCGCGCTCAGGGACCACCCCCTGCGCATCCCCCATGGTGTCGAGAAAGTGCCACGCCTGCTGTGCCTGGACGACCGTCACGGATAGCGGCCGCGCTCAGACCACCCCCTGCGCACCCGCAGCCGACTGCTGCCACCTGCGCACGACGGACGAACGTAGCGGCCGCGCTCAGTGCGCACCCCCATGGTCGAGTGCCACGCCTGCTGTGCCTGGACGACCGTCACGGATAGTTGCGCAGCAGCCGAGCTCAGGGACCACCCCCTGCGCACCCCGTGTAGTGACGAGAAAGTGCCACACACGGGTGGTGTTGTGTAGTGTGGTGTGGTGTGGTGTGGTGTGGTGTGGTGTTGCGCACCCGCAGCCGAGCTCAGGGACCACCCCCTGCGCACCCCCTGTAGTGACGAGAAAGTGCCACACACGGGTGGTGTTGTGTAGTGTGGTGTGGTGTGGTGTGGTGTGGTGTGGTGTTGCGCACCCGCAGCCGAGCTCAGGGACCACCCCCTGCGCACCCCCTGTAGTGACGAGAAAGTGCCACACACGGGTGGTGTTGTGTAGTGTGGTGTGGTGTGGTGTGGTGTGGTGTGGTGTGGCGTGGTGTGGTGTGGTGCGATGTGGTGTGGTTGGTGTGGTGTGTGTACGAGCGAGAAGGAGGAGGTGAGGTGGAAACGCGGGTGTGACGCGGGTGTAGAGAAAATCAGAACCCCACTTAGAATGTGGGGAATGAAGTGCTTCACAACGTCCGATGCCATCATGGTCGAGGAGGAGGGGCCATCAACCGGCAACGAAGGGACAACCTCCTCCGTCGATCCTTGAAGAACCGCTGCTGGGTGCTGGGACAGGTAGTCCTCGACAAGATGAGCGTCAGTCCTGTGAGTCTGAGAGAGTGAACGCTCCGTGCTGGCCGCCACATCAATACCTTGAAAGGGAGAGGGGCCAGATATCTCATCCTCTTTGCTGCTCTGCTGCGTGTGCTGGGCGATGTCGGTGATCTCCTCCTCAGACGAATCAATCGGTGCAACAGCCATTACTTCGTCCTCGACATCGTCAGGTTCCTGTTTTGGGAGCGTAGGGGAGATGGCAATGATCTCGGACAAGAGGGAGGACCACTTAGGGTGGGCAGCCGCATTCCTCTTTTCACTCAAGAGACCGAGCCGATTCGAGAGAGCGTTGTGACCTCCGTTACGAAGACGAGCTTTCGCATCTTGAATCCGAGAGCACCCGAGAGATTCCATAATAGCCTCTTGAATAACTACAGGGTCCTCATCTGCATGGCGGTCAGAATTGGCACTGAATTGGCTGATGGCCGCTCGAATGGCAAAGCGGCGGTCGCTGGAACACAGCGAGGAAGCGGCAGTGGAGTCGAACACACCAGTGAGCTCCATGAAGCCGAGAAGAACAATTGCAGGGAGGGAGCAGCTAGCCGAATGGCTTAAGCTAAAATGGCTACGGTGGACGTCCGCTAATTCTTGGTGTGGGAACGTCATCGAGACCAAAGAAACCCAGGGCACCCTGGTGGCAGGAAAGGTGTTTCTTGGCATGGGTCTCCACTGTAACTGCTGCGTCGCCCTTTCCTCTTTTCTCACGCCCGGGTCAGGGGCATCTGCGTCTGCCACTCCCCTCCTCCTCCTCCTCCTCCTCCTCCTCCTCCTCCTCCTCCTCCTCTTCCTCCTCGCAGTCGTCCCGAGCAGGCCGAGCTGGGGCAGAAAAGAACACCGTGAGAGCTCGAA